TCACATCCCCTCGCATTCTTTTTATGATTCTGACCACTTCCGTTTTTATTTTCTAGGCTGTCGGCCAATTGGAAGCAAGCATTTCAACCTGACTCGTTCGGCATGTGTTTATATTCGCTCATGTCAGGTCGCATCCGAAATGAATGCGTAAAGAACGCCAGTGACGACCGTCTGTCACGTTAGTGCGTGCTGGAAACTCGCTCGTGCTCCAGTGCCAACTGCCCTGGGACCTCCGCGTGTCTATTTTTAATCGTCAGAGTCTGGGGGGGTGGCGAAGGGGGGCGGGATTAGTGTTACTAGGCGTCTTAATCCTCAGGTAGTAAAACTGTGGCCCGCGTGCAACTCTCCAGGTCAGACAGCTATAGACTTTGATTTCGAAGGCCCTGGGATTGAACCCCGTGTTACAGAAATTAACTCTGGACGTATCTCAACTCAAATGATCTTCCCTGAGACACCAGAAGTCACCAAAGTGATTTGTCTGTCTCCTTGAAGCAGAACTGTATTATTAACTGAGTACGTGATAACAGGACTCGAAGGTTATAACACCAAATGTCGTCATTGGAAACGAATCTGGGCCAGTTAAAACACCTTCCATCCTCAGAATCCATCTATTTCTTGATCGGTTGGGCGTTTTCCTGGAGTTCCCCCATCAAAGTTACGTATGACTTTCTCGTAGCTACTTGCATATTTTAACCTTTCGCCGTCCCAAAAGAATTAAGTGGTCTATACAAATCATAATGTTCCTGGTTCTGCAATATCCTTATCCGCTCACTTCATTTTTCTACCTTTATTTATTGTTTATAAAAATGTAATTTTTTTTATTTCCCCTGAATAAGACTCACGCGTGCATTGGCAACGTTCGTGTTGAGTGTAATTATCTAACTAGACTGCCTAACTGTCTTGAAACGAATTGAAATTGTCTTCTGTTTATGCAAATAATGCAGGAAACCGTTATTGAAACTGCATACGAACCAACCTTAAACTATTGTCTGCGAAGAACAGGAAGAAACATTGGTAGACCTCGTACACGATGGATTACAGTCGGAGGAGAGTAAGAGTAGTGGCGGATTTTGTCGTTTCTTGTAGCTGACCGACTGAGGCGCCGATTAACGTAGAACGTTTGTCAGCTGGGCGCTGTAGATCCTGTGCTGATGCTGTTTCGTCTGTGTTTGTTCCAGTCTACGTCATATTGGGTCACCAGGACGAACACCTCGGTCTCATGATCGCAATGGAGGAGATGAAGCTCTTCGACAAAGGTGAGGTCTTGTCGTTTTGCGAACAAACATAATTACTAGTTACGTGAAAACATCTGATATTATTTGGATTGTCAGCTTCATCAATTTACTTTTAAGTTTCAAGTTGTAAGTCGGAATATTTCAGGCAGTAAAGTGATTGGTGACCTTTGTCTTGTGGATTATAACGCCGTGTGAAGTTGTATGTTGATAGCAATGTTTCGGAGATAAATACTGTTTCCATCTTCAGGGCTTAACGTTGGTTTCTACCTACGAGTCCACATGTCGTGAAAAGTTTAAATCTCACATTCCATTCTGTTATCTAAAAACGTATAAATGAAGATGTACAGAACTACAAACTTTACCGGTTGGTTTGTATTTCGGAAAATATTATTACAATTATTAAATCAAGGAGGGTGAGATGGGTGAGGCATGTTTCCCTGTGAGAGATGATATATTTTTATTGTCAGGGTGATTAAGTCGAGAAGAGTGAGATGGGCGGGACATGTAGCGCGCATGGATGGGACAAGAGGTGTGCACCGGGTATTGGTTGGGAAGCCTGAAGGGAAGAGACCTCTGGGGAGACCTAGACGTAGATGGGAGGATAATCTCTGGCGGGATCTATGGGAGATAGGAGTTGAAGGAGACTGGATTTTGTTGGCCCAGGACAGGGTCCGGTGGAGGGCTTTGGTTAGTTCGGTGATGAACCTTCGGGTTCCGTAAGCCATCTAGTTAGTTAGTTAGTTAGGAAGTCTAAAGAGAATATATCATTCTGAACACATTGGAAGATATTATTAAAATAGATCCTAAATAAATTGGGTTGTATGATGAGGACTGAATGTGTGTGGCTCAGTATATAAACCGGGTGTTCGCTTTTAATTAAAGGCGAGTAATATCTTGACTAGCCGAGCTATTATCAGCTTCTCAATAATTCAGTGGCAGTGAATGTTTTGTTCAGGCGAGTACTGGGTGGTGGGGGTGGACACGGAGCAGTACGACCCGGCCAACCCCGAGAAGTACCTCAAAGCTCTCCTGCGGGACGAGACTAACCCCACGGCACAGCGCGCCTTTCGCTTTTACCTCGGCGTCATGCCGTCGCCTGCCACGGGTTTCGAGAACTTCAGCGAGCGGGTTAACTACTACATGGAGCGACCACCGTTCAACTTCCCCAACCCGTTGAACTACTTGGGTGGACACAAGACGGTGAGTGTGGAGCTCGGTTGGCACGCATGCGTACTTGCTATTCGTGTTATCCAATTACTCTCTGCTCTCTGTACTACAGATCCGCGCCGAAGCGGCTTACCTGTACGACGCCGTAAATCTCTACGCTGAAGCAGTACTGGACCTCCTCGATCGAAAGCAGGACCCCCGAAATGGAACCGCTGTCATCAGTGCTATCAAGGGCAGGAACTATCGAAGTGCCATGGGGTAAGTAACAACCCACGAACCCTCAGGGTATATCACGGCTTTACTGTAAATGGCACAACGCGATTCTAAGTGAAATCTTGTTCGAATTTCAGTTGAAGTTCGGTTGTTGTGGTGGCCATGCAAAGCCGAAAATCGCTATAACAGCCTCTGACCTGCTTGGTTTAATGGAGTGTCGATGTTAAGCTTTGTGTTCGGTGTTTCTACGCCGTTCGAGATAGGTCCAGCAGTGAACAGATAACGAAATCAAGATACCCGAACCTGCGAGTCGTAGTTGTCTGAGCGGTTTTTAAATCGCATGCAGCAGTGGACAGATAACGAAATCAAGATACCCCAAGCTGCGAGTTGTAGTTGTCTGAGCGGTTTTTAAATCGCATTAATCCCTTACTGTTACCCGTCCACCCACCCGGGATTCGAGTTTATGATGGTTCTCTAATATTGCAGTAAATGCAATTTGGTGATCGCATTGTCGGAGGACGGAGTCCGCATCGTTCATCAGACAGAAGAAAACGTCGCCTGGTTGATGAGGGATATATGGGTCTTGTGTTTGAATCTCGACTTGGCTGGTCGTATTTTTGTAAAAAGTAAATAATTCTTTCGAATGCTGTTTGAAAAATTATGTATTTCCTATCACGATTTTGCTCATTTATGTTAAATTACGTAAGAATACCATTACGTTATGTTGATTTATTCGTTACGCATTTAACAAGTCTGTTTCAGCTAAATGGGTTTTAAAGCGTCTGGAAAGATCATAGGCGACGATTTGATAAGAACTTAAAAGGAGATGTGTGAAATATTTGAAGGCGTTTTCCCAGAAATGCGGAAGAAAAGACGAAAAATGTCATTCACGTGTCGGATGAGGATCGAATGCTCAGTATCCGAAACACATCAACAGATTTTAATTAAATTTGGTGCACCCAAAGTTGTCAGGAATTCCTAATTGTATCGATCCCAAATAATACGCCCTTCTTAAGGGCTTCAAACATCATTATCATCGTCACCACCCTCAGTTTAACGAATTTCGGGAAAATATAGTAAATAGTATAATATAAAGTTCAGAACTTATTAAGATTTACAATTTAATTTTGAAATTTTCTTACACTAGAGCAGGGCGCTCCTTTCGGAGCTACTCGGGGCGTTGGTTGCGTTTTAAAATCTTAAGTAAGAAACTAAACCAATCCCCCCGAAAGGGGGGGTAAAACACTTGACAACTCCCCTCTTCGGGGGGGGGGGGTTGCTTTTCAAAATCTTGAGTAAGAAACTAACCCCCCCCCCTCGAATGGGGGTTAAAACACTTGACAAAACCCCCTTTCGAGGGGTTGGTTGCGTTTTAAAATCTTGAGTAAGACACTAAACTAACCCCCCGAAGGGGGGGTTAGTTTAGTGTCTTACTCAAGATTTTAAAACGCAACCAACCCCTCGAAAGGGGGTTTTGTCAAGTGTTTTAACCCCCATTCGAGGGGGGGGGGGTTAGTTTCTTACTCAAGATTTTGAAAAGCAACCCCCCAAAATCTGGGGGAGTTTTCAGAAGCGTAACCCACACTGGAGATTGCTTGAAACCATTGCAACTGGAAAAGGTTCTTAAAATAAACAGTAAATGAGAGCCTATTAGATTACAAAAGTGTAGGATGCAAGGACACGCTTCCTCGTTCTAATCGAATTGTCTTAGAAAAGGGTACAACGCCATCTGGGTCAACCCCTGCAGACGATCTTTTCCTTGTGACAGTTCGGCTGTTTGTGTTGCCTAGTAACCAGGCTAATGAACATTTCCGTCGCTAATTGCCTCCCTTATTCTAGCAACAACTTTATCGTGCTGTGTGACATCGCGGGGAGTGACAAATGTCTGTCGACACGGAGACTTTTACTTTCTTGCGATGGATCGGAACTCGCCCGCTGGTTTCATGCCCTCCAGAAGCGATTCTATAACATTCCGCAGGACGCTTTGCAACTGTTTGAATGTTTCTGCTAGAATTAGAGTCATCTGGTGTGTGAACCATGAACAGAGGCGGCACGCGGAATGTGCCTTCTGCGTGAGAGACGAGAGCCTGTAATAATTGGCTCATTAAACGTGCTGTAGCAGGGTGGAGCAGTGGCGTGCAGTCCACTTTGACAAGTAGGAAACAGAGCCATCGTTTGGGTTACTGGCCCTCAAGATCGCGGAACCAAGGGACAGTCCATGCGAGGACTTGGTTAGATCTCAAGTCCTCACGTCTTATGGGCACATTTGCAGTTGATATGGTGACACAACTCTCAGTCAGACTTACAGTTTGTCGTTGAACGTCACTGTTTGTTACAAAATTCAGTATCCGCGTAATTAAAGAACGCAAATAGTTAATTCTGCATTCATCGGACACTGGTAAGCTCAATACACCATCTGCACAGCGTTTAATTGACGACCGCTGTGCTAATCATGAGCTAAATTGTCTGACCGGTGGAGCGTAACAACTGACAACTGTGCCAATAAGTGCCCCTTTCTCTCAGTGTTAACCCTTTAAAGCCCGGTGGTAACTTTGTGGCCCATCTCCTTTAAGTCGATAAATCTGCAGTTTCATTTAATACTCCTTACGATTCTCACTGCAAAACAGCGATCATTTCCTTAAACAGCGTCAACCAGTTGATCTTTGTAATGGTGAAGTGAAGTGTTTTCTTCGCGGTACGGACTAAATTCTTAAATATTATTTAGACGAGCGTAGGCTTCAAAGGGTTAACCAGTTGGTCTTTGTAATGGTGAAGAGCTGTGTTTTCTTCGCGGTACGGACTGAATCTTTAAATATCAATTTCTGACGACTGAAACAGATACGGACATTGCATACTATATTTTTTTCTTTTCGTCTTGTTTAAACTTTCTTTACGGAACTTTTTATAGCAGATCCGCGTGTCCTTTCACACCGCTACAAGAAGTAATGACGTCATATTACAGGTACATGGTGTACATGGACCAGAACGGAGACGCAGAGGGTAATTACACCCTGTTGGCTAGAAAGCCGCACCACATTTCACCCCATGAGTACGGCCTGTATCCCGTGGGGGTATTTACCCTCAGAGAAAATCACGACGGACTTTTGGTAAGTACCCTGCGTGCTCTAATGGCATCGTATAGAGAGAACTTCTTATGATACTGATAAGAACTTCAAACGTGAGCTCGGCTCTGATGTTTTCGCATGAGTTTGTAAACTTTAATTCTTTGATTGTCTTGTTGCTTTCTGTAACACTTAAAAGCATTAATCGTGTAGTGACTCGCGTTCTCCGCCGGTTGGCTGCTGGTCCCATGTTTCAGGACCTCCACCTCACGGACTCCGTGGACTGGGTTAGTGGTCATCCACCCATCGCAGAGCCTCCGTGCGGCTTCCGTGAAGAGAAATGCGTCAGTGAGTAGAAAAGCCAACTTGATATATTGCATCGCCCGTAACAGGGCCTTCCGTTCCCTTCTGCACGCTGCCTGGTGACAATTGACTATCACGTGGCGAGGACTAAACCAATGAACGTCAGTCAGGCCTCCATCGTCAGGTCTCCCTGATGATAGAGCTATAAATCTCCTCCGAAACCTCGGACATCGTTGAATATGTTTGCGTTAACGGGATGTTGCGACATACTGATGATGGAGGCAGCAAGTACGTCTGAAACGTTGGTAAACTTTTCAGAAGACAGCCATGTTTCGTGGATGTTTCCATCCGGTGGTAGAATTTCCCAGTTCTCCGGAAATTTTGACACTCAGCTTTGCTTAGAGTGTGTTTGTCGGATTCAATCACAGCGTCTTCTTCATAATAGGCCATTTATCGCTTTTTTTTTTTTTTTTTTTTTTTTTTTTTTTTTTTTTTTTTTTTTTTTTTTTTTTTTTTTTTTTTTTTTTTTCATTTCTCTGCTCACTTCGCTCGTGTTTCGATGAAACGTCTTCAAGTAATTCGACCCAAAAAAAAAAATCCCTCCGCGTAAAAGGCAAACCGCTCTGTTGTCAATAGTCGTAATTGAGGTTCAGGGGCAGGATGCTGTACGCCTCACTTCCAGCTGAGCGTGTCTGCATTGTCACCGCACAGTTGACAGATGACTGATATGCTGGGAAGCCGCCTTTTCAAATTAGTTGCCGATTATCGGATTAGGGTGTCTCTGTGACCCAGTTCAGGATGACAGACCGCGAGTTGATTTGCATAACGCGGCTGTCAGACAAACGCCGACACGCTTGATCAATTGTGTTTGTTGGGAGACGCTCGAAACTTTACGTTATTACAAGCTTTGTGTCAGAAATTAACAAATTGCTGGCGGAAGGAAAGGCGTGTGAACATAGAAACATGGGCTTGATATGGATTCTTGCTACGAGGCATAATATAAATTATACTTGAGGTTTGAGGTTCTCACGGCCACGAATATCAAGATGGCTGTCTTCTGCGTTGTTGTGACGTGTAGTCTGGTAGAAGTTTACCGACGTTTCACAGATGTTTTCTGCCGCCATCATCAGGGCGGTGAACACACGCTATTTAATTATTTATACTTTATAAAATTTCATTGCCATAATAATCATTATTAACTATTGCTTAGAGTTATCTTAATTGTATAGTTTTTATACCATATTTTAAGTCGGTCTTATATTTTTCCACTTTATTTCTTCTTAGCGGTAATATAATTAAGATATTACAATTTATTATGATACGTATAGTCAACACTAGGTCTTAATTTAAAAATTAAACTACTTGATTTATGAGTTTAAGAAGGTCAGATATGCAGAGGAATATTTTAGCGTATGTAATAATAACATATTTTTATAGTCAGTATTCTTTTCGTGTACTGCGGTTTTTGATGTGACGTACTAAGTTGTTTCGCTGTAAGTCCGTCACTTTTCGTCTGCAGTTTCTACGTCTTCCTCAGTTAAAAATTCAGAATTTAAGTATTGTTGTTGTTGTTGTTGTTGTTATATTGTTTATTTTTGTTGTTACTGGTGTGACTAACTTTTTTTTAATTGCATAGTAACATTTAATTCACGCCAAATTTAATAGTTACACAGCCATGACTCGATCGTCAAAACCTTTTTTATACTTAGGGAATTTAAGAAATTAAGGTATCCCTTGGTCAAAGCACCAGAACATATAAGAACCGAAGGCAAAGGATGTATTTGAGATCTCGTCAGGAAATTTCCCATGAAAAATACTGAACACTTGTCAGAATTGTCCTTGTTCAAACTGAGATACGAATTGTTGGCTCAAGATGATATCGACTACTTAAAGACATTTGGTCGAATCGCATTTAAGTCACTCGTTACAGCTGATACGGCGGTGGGTATCGAGTATTTGGATCCAGTCGATAGGAATGACTGCCCCTTATCTTCAGTCGTTCAAAATAACGATGCACTAGGCCACAGACTCCGCACATTTAGTGCAGACGGGAGTGAAAGCAGACAAGACAGTGGCGCGTCCCAATGTTTTTAAGGAAGCCAGTCTGAAGAAAGATATACCTTGGGTTATTTAACGACGCTTTAACTGCACAACGACAAGTGAGAAGGGAAAATGGGTAAGGCTACGGATAAAGGCCGACATGACCCACGTCGAGATATCCTGGAATTTCTCTGGACATACTGAATAAAATCATGAAACTCTGTCAGAATAGCACGTATCCTGGTTGAAATTCGAAAGTTGTAACTCTCTCAAATGCACATATAATGCGTTATCGCTCAACCAAACAGCGGTGGTCTAGCGGTTAGAACGCTGGCCTTGTAATCCTGGGGGTCTCGGGTTCGATTCCCGGCGGTGCCCGAATTTATAACTTGTGTTGGGCAAGGCCGTGGTCTAGGCAACACGGAGTTTTCCTCCGGGGGCTTCCCCGGTTTCTCCGTGGCATCCCAACAATTACTCCATTCACACACAGAAGAAGGCAATGGCAAACCACTTCTGGATCATCTGCCAAGAACGTATATGAACAGGTCCCAGTCCGAGAAAAGGATGGAAGGATCCTGTTCATATGGACCTGTCGTCAGACAGAACACTAAAAAAAAAAAAAGTAGGAATTGTCGTCTGGTAGAGGTTTACAAGCGTTTCAGAGGTCCTTGCTGCCTCAATCGTCAAAGATAGGTTTGAGGTACATGAGAGTGGCAGACAAGGTAGAACCTTGGCTGGACCAGTGGGGAAAAGATGTACCAATTATGTTTGTCGCGAAGAGAATGTTCTAGAAACAAATGCCACAACAACGAAATGTCATCGGTTCCAATCTTGACGACTCTCGA